TTCTTTGGCAAAGAAAGGGAAACAGTGTTATGAAATGTGAAGACAGTTACAATACAATGGTATAACATATTTGGCAAAAGGATTGACCCACACAGCGTGGGTCTTGCCTTTACTGTACATTATTCTTGTTCTTGTATACTGATAAATTACTTAGTTGTTGCTTTAAATATCAAATCAATTTTAAATTGTGAAAATGTATCGCTGAAAAAAATGATATGCGAGTGAGAATCGTTTGTGTTATAGAAGTCGAACATTTATTTCAAGTGGAAAAACGGCAAAACTGAAAATGTTGCAGGCTCGGCTTGATTGAGCCTTGTAACACCGCACTCTGGGGTCAAACGCACTTTGGGGTCCGACCCCAAAATGCGTTGGACCCAAAAGTGCGATGTTACAGAGCCTGTTAAAGAACAGTTTTGGTATCCACGCCAAATATTATCAGTAAAAGCCGTTCATTCAACACTTAAACAGGAAAATGGTGAAATTTTGAACATGAAAACATCAGCGATTGTGTTCATACGGCGGTAATCATGGTCTAATGTTGAAACGCCCTTGACATTCCATGAAAAACGTCGCATTGTAATGTGTGTTCTCGTGTGCTCTTTAAGGGAAAACAAGGGGCGGAACTAGATAAAGTGGAATTTTGAAAAGGGATCGCAGGTTATATAGACAAAACATTTGTATATCACTCGGATGATACGGGCTGTTGACGATGAAATGTCCGACTGATAAACATAAGTAATAGTTGTTTGTAAAGATGTTCGTGAAGTTTGCAGCCTAGCAGCCTGGCAGCCTAGCAGCCTAAAGAAAACTAAGGATAGTACAAACATGAAAACCGTCGGAAATGAATCGGTAGCACATACTTAGACCATTCCACGTCTTATTTCAGTATTGCGATCTTTATTTTTTAAAATATTGAACACGGTGTTAAAGCTATATAACTGTTAACTATGATTATCCAATGAAAAGCGACGTTACAAACGTGCAGTATTATAAAGTTTGTTTCTTGTCTATCAGACAGGATTATATCTACCGTATACACCGATGCTGGAAAAACCTGTCTAACACCCCCATGTAAGACAAGTTACGCGCTTTAAATGACGTCATTTCCGCGCGCCATTTATGACAGACAGACAGACAGAAAACAGAAACAAAATGAATTTCGTTCTCAGGAAGACGTCATTTTACCATTATGAATGAAGTTGTAATTTCATACGCTACTATAAGAAAAAAGTGCGTTATGAGAATATCAATTTTCGTGATTTCTATTCTGAAAGTAATTGATATGTAATATGCAAGAAAAGAATCAAACACCGGCTGTCGGTACAGCCGGGAATATCTTGCTCTCGGCTAACTGTTTAGCGGCAACTCGGCAGAGCCTCGTTACCGCAGTAAACCTCGAGCTAGTCATTCCGGTCGGTACCGGCAGCCAGTGTAAGATTCTTATAATATATGATCATATTGTTATAACACTAAAAGAAAGCGTTTCTCTGATGTCGACGTAAGAAAAGGGTTGTTCTAAATTGAAAAATGCGTTATGTCAAGTTAAACCCTCACAATAGACTTTAATGGCATCAGGACTGTGTTGCAATAGAATCCATCGCTGTCTGCGTTGTAATCAATTTTTGTCAATTCTGTTATAAAAAGGCAATAACAATTTCAAAAATTCCAAATTGTGGTTGTTTTGTGCAAATATTATTCATATGATGTAATGCTGGTGTATTAAGGGGTCGTTTTGCACACATTTTAACCTAAAATAGGCAAAAGTGGCATCCCAATGTTAAACTGTACATAAGTGTTAGCACAAATTTAAATTTAATGGCAATGAATCGCACCGTGTGCGTGTAATAAGTTGGAAACGCACATATATGGGTTCCAGACTCACTAGGTGTTTCCGGTAAAACATTAATTAAAACATAAAGTAAGATTCAGTCATAAACTTACCGACAGCAGGAAACGGTCATAAACCGCTTCCGCGACGAAATCTCCATCGCCGCTGCGATGAACCCACCGCTTCTGCGAAAGCTATGGCCAGAATGATAATTATTGCATTAATATTCCTTAGTTAGAGTTGCACAGTCCCGTAGCTACTGTCGAACATCGTTTACAATGTCCGCAGTCAATCACCTGCCACTTTTCAACGTCACTCTCTGCGATTGACGTCACCAACGTCCTTGAAAATGTCTTCTTTCTGTTGCTCCCTTATTTTTCTTTTTTTCAATTTCTCATTCACCCTTTCTTAATCATTTGTGTCAATCAAAAACTATGCTGTGGTTTCTTTAACCTTTTCCCTTTTTCCTTTATACCTTTCTATGTTTTCGACAGTTACTCGTCTTACTATTGACACAATTTTTATTACCTATTCTTCATAACTTATCACTTATTATTTACAGATTATTACTTATATTGAGTATTGAACCGCGCCATGTTTGTCAGGGAAAATCTCTGTTTACATCAAGACAATTACCGGAAACCGTAAGAACATCATTTATTTAAAGTCATATATTACGGAAGCCCAGGAAGGAAAATAATAATTATCAATTATAATATACGAGGGGTGTTCGGGAAGTTGTAGTTTGATAAATAATAGGAATTGAAAAACAAGAAAAACACCATAAAAATATTTGATTCTTTTACAGCCAGCTGTAAAAATTACAATGAAATACATTAAACAATAAGTAAATTACAAATAAAACAAAACATACACCGAAGCATACCCGAAAACACGCTAACGTCACATCAGTGCTAAATATGTTAACGTCGAATTTCCCCGATCGTCATATCGACTCACTTCTGGACGTAATCTCCATTCACAGCGAATCATTTTCAATGCCTCTTGAGCCATTTGTCGTACGTGTCCTCGTACCAGATGTTGTCGAATGACAAAACTATTCTCTGGGTTTCAATTTGTAATTCCAACCCGGAATCAAAGCGTCGACCACGCAGCTGTGCTTTGATTTCCGGAAAAACTCGGAAATCCATCGGCACGAGGTCCGGGCTATAGGGTGGATGCTCGAGCGTCTCAAATCCAAGGAGGCTGATTTCCAACTGCGTTGACTGTGCACGGTGGCCGGGGGCGTTGTCCTGGTGAAGAATAATCTGGTCGAGGTCGATCCCGGGGCGCTTCTTCCTAGTAGCCTGGGCGAGATCCCGCTTTAGAGCCTGAAATCATAAAATGATTAAGTATTCTAAGAATAGCGTATTAAAATTATTCAATATATTTTTTCATTTATTTGATTAGTTTTATCTTATATTTAAAATAAAATAAATTATCATTTATGAGTGCTTATAAATACCTTTGAGTAATAATTGGCAGTCAGCCTGTCCTTACGGGATACGGTGCTGTAATAGCATTCCCCTGTCCATGAAAAACAAGCCTGTCCATGAAAAACACGAACATGTGTTTCCGCCGCTTTCCTGAAACGGCGCTTTCTTTGGAGGAGGACTTCCGGGAGTTTTCCAGACAGATGATTCCTGTTTCGAACTCGGGATCATAGTGGAACAACCAAGTTACGTCCGTAGTGATGATGCGATCTAAAGATAACAACCTCTCTCCTTCGACGTGTCGCACGAATTCTCGAGAACAGTGTAATCTGCGTTCCCGCTCGTCGTTCTTCCAAGGCTTCCGTAATATATGACCTTCTATAAATGATGTTCTCCTTCATCTTTTTCGCTAATTGTCATGATGTAAACAGAGTTTTTTCCTGCCAAACATGGCGCGTTCCAATTCTAAATATAGTAATAACCTGTAAATAATAAATAATAAGTTATAAATAATAGGTAATGAGTAATAATTTTTAGATAATAAATGTCTCTCCAGTACTCCAGGGCTTCCGTAACTTTCAGTCTTTTTTAACACTAACTTTTTTCTTCGAGAGCGGGAAATTTTATTGTAGTATTCTGAACATTTGTTTATACTGTATACATGCATCATTAATTTTTTTTTAGAATTAACGTGCGTAAAAATATTTGTCATTTTCTGACTTCCATTCAAACAAACCATGTTATTTCACAATCAAATTTCGTAAAAAAAAACAAAACAAAAAAATACTTCAAAGGGAGTTTATCTTATCAAATGACAATATTTTTTCATGGAAAAGAGTCATATCATATTTCGTTCTTTTTTCGCTGATCTTTTTTTTTTTAGATTTTTTTTTGTGGGGAGGGGGGGGGGCTTGAAGTGTCACGTATCAAGTGTCATATATTTGATAAAGCGATGATTGCGATCAAACTCTTTTATTTAAGGTTACTTCTTCATAATATGGAGGTTACTTAACACCAAAATATATTCATCAGTTCCATGAATTGACACTGTTTGACAAATGAGACAAAAAAAGAACCCACCTGACTGGCGGGCTAGTTTACCAATCAAATCAGGCATGGTGCTTGTCCAGACAAATAAATCATTTTTTACAGATTGCACAAAGTTTAGCTCACCTGTTCTATAAATGGACCTGTTGTGATTGCCGCCTCTAGGATTTAGGGCTAAATCAGCAGCCAATATCAACAAAATAATCATCGTTAAAAGGAAAGTATACTTTTCAATAACTGAATAATGGCCGAGCCTTTCTACTCTTGTGGCGATGACCTTCAAGATTTTTTTTCAGTCACAGGATGTCAAGTCTGGAGAATATGGCGGATGCCTAAGGACATCCACTTGTTTTGGCATTTTATTATTATTATTTTTATTATTATTATTATTATTATTATTATTATTATTATTATTATTATTATTTAATCAATTTCAGTAGCTACTTTGTGTGCGGGAGCGCTGTCATGCAAAAATAAAGTTCTTCAACTGTAACATTAACTGGAGCGTTTCTACCAGACTTATACATCTTTCATTGACATGTGCACATTTTTAAATTTATGCACCCACCTAGGGACAGTTGTTTAAGATACTTCATTGTTGCATTTATCAGGCTGTTTCTTACCCCACCCACCTTTTTTACAAAATAGGTGGGTTGAAAATAAACCAGGTGAGCGAATTCTGCAAAAAAGAGCTCTTGTTAAGGGTAAATAATTTTTTTACAATCTAACATTTTTTATTGCATCTTGGAAACCATGTCGCTTTTCACGCTTTTATTTTGTACGATCGTTTGCGGATTTTCAGGTAGAAAAATAAAATATATTTTATATTTGGATTTATCTTTTTCTAAAACTAAAAAAAATAGATCACTTTTTGTTAAACAAAACAATATATTTATGTAAGAAATTATGAAATGCTGAAATGAAATTTATTTATCTTTTAAACAGAAAATTGTGAATACTTTTTAAATTTTTCAATTTATTTATTTATTTATTTATTTATTTATTTATTTATTTATTTATTTATTTATTTATTTATTTATTTCACGATGCTATTTCCTTTAATTGAGTAATAAGAGAATATTAGTTTTATTCCAAACATTTTCTTTAAGACAAAAGCATTTCTAGGGCGTAATGAGCCTTTAAATAACTGAACAAATTATTTCATTCAGGAAATAAGATTCATATTGTGCAGCTTGTGTTAAATTGCGACATGCACATGAAAATGTTCAGATATAAATTTTTGGACTTGTGTATTTATTAAATCGTTACTAAGGACACATATAAAAAAAGGATATCGCAATAAGTTTGTCCAAAAAAGGGACAGACACATGTCCGCTTTATGTGAAATAAAAAAAAGAGAGACAAAAAAAAGAAAGAAATAAGAACGAGTTAAATAACATATATATATAATCTTTATTATGTAACGTTATTTCAGTATAATATAAAAATCAAATAGTCGTGTTGTTGTAGTTTTTGTTGGTGGTGGTTGTGTAATCTTTGTAAACATTAATCGTTCAAAAAATTTGTTTAACTAAAATATTGATGAGAAAATGTTCAAATGAAGATAAAATTGTAAATAAATGAGCGTTTTATATTTTAAGCCGTGACGGTTAACGGAGGTGATTACTGTACGATTGACGTCACGTCTGTAACAACACGGACGTCATATTGTGAGCATGGATGTTGTGGTGACGCCTATGATAATACCAGGGACTGTTGCGCCGATCCGTAAGTTAGATTTCATACCATTATAACTATATATAGATATATCATAAGTATACATGTATATATCTAAAGATAAAATGGATTTTTTTTCTGTTATATTCATTTAAGATAAGAAAAATTCTATTTTTGGTGTATAATCAAGGTGCCTACACCACTTGACATTTTTGGGATCTGCGTTGAGCAGAACCAATACAAAGACGCACGGTCATTGTTTCATTTTCTGCTATAACCCATGAAAAGAATATTTTTCTAAAGTGAAACTGTATGAATATCTGATTTTTCAAATAGGCGGGTTCACTTCCCGTAAAAATTACCGGATTTTTGTTTCTTTAATAACATCCTATGTATGTGTTACACACTAGAATGAAAGATTCTACACATTAAAACAAATGAAAATGATAAATACAAATGAGCCGCGTCACGACAAAACCAACATAGTGGGTTTGCGACCAGCATGGATCCAGACCAGCCTGCGCATCCGCGCAGTCTGATCAGGATCCATGCTGTTCGCTATCAGTTTCTCTATTTGTTATAGAGTTGGTAAGCGAACAGCATGGATCCTGATCAGACTGCGCGGAGGCGCAGGCTGGTCTGGATCCATGCTGGTCGCAAACCCATTACGTTGGTTTTGTCGTGACGCGGCTCAAATCTGGACGTGGATTTTTGCGCCACGCATTTCATAAAATGTCATGTGGTATAGGAACCAAGCGAAGTCATGAGTTTGATAGTGAGTATCAAAAGGAAAACACAAATATTGTATAATACTGAATGAAGATTTTTTTTAAATTTTAATCCTTTTAGAAAGAAATAGGTACGATATATGAAGTAATTATATAAAGTAATATTGTTTTGTGATACGCGATCACAGTAAGAATATGGTTTTAACTTTACGTTCGTTTTAACTGGTTTATGTTATAAACTATATAATATATACATTTTTTTACAAAATAGTGGTACCAGCACATATGTATACGTAGGAGGGAGTATCGGTGGATTTGCAAGCTTTGTAATCATCGTACTTTGTATATGTTATTGCTGTAAAAAATAAGGTAAGGAAATGATGTATGGTCTTAATGGCTTTTTTTGGGGGGGGGGGGGTTAAACTGACAAAGTACATGTACTTTGAATTTGAAAGAAATGATCACTTGGCAAATTTTTAGCTGCTCTCCTGACGGACGACCTCAAGTTCCGTCTGTGCATTTGTACTTGCACAAAAGAGCATCTGAATAGAACCATCGACGTTTTCTAAGCTACCTTCCTCATATTCAATGACGAAATTCGAACCTACTCGGGCACGGCCTCTCCGCCGGACCTTATACCAAAACACCGCCATCGGGTCACAGAAAGGGAAGTCTTCCATACATTTTTTCCATTCTAGAGCAAGCATGTTCGTAGAAACAATGACCGTAAGATAGCTGGATATCTTCCTAGCATACCAATATAGACCCCTATGCTGGATTCAGACTAACACCGCTAAGTGCCAAGTGATTCGAAATGAGCAACCTTTAAATCTTAGTCACAAATATGAGAGTTAAATGGACATATGACTTTGAGTGTTCTTTCACTTATATTACATAATTATATTATTTTTTAAGTGATTTGGTACTGGCGAGAGACGACTGATCCGAAGTCAGTCAGCCATGAAGGCCGTCCCTATATTCTTAACAGAATTACACAAGCGTTTCAGAAATGTAATTTTGTTCATTTAATATTTGTTATGAACTTGTATAATATGTTAAATAAAACATTGTTTGTCTTCAGGGAAAGAAAAAAAGAAACAACATTACTGTATGCTACGAAGTAAAAAAAAGACAACAACACCGTGTTTACAACAATGTTAACAAGAATCTCCTGTGATATACAAACGTATTGTGATAAAAGACAGATTTTGTTATTGTGTTTGTTTGAACAGTATCATGTAATTAACGATTATATAAACATTCTGTAACTTTATTTTTTTTAAAAATATTCTCAATTGTTTGAATGTCGATGTCGATTTTTATAAATGATCCATGTTAAAAAAAAAAGCTCTGAAAAAAAGTTTCATAGAAAAAAAATTCCAAAAGAGAAAAAGTGCACGTTTTTACTTTATTGCTAACTTTCTGAAGAAAGTATAACGTTGTTCTGACTAGCGTGGCTCGTGAGTAATGGTTTTGTGAGACCGACCCCGATCCTGCCCAATCTTCTCTTCAAAACCCCAAACTTTGAATAGCCGATAAACACCGCTGAGATCGATAATATATTAGTTATTAAGATTTTTGAAAGGTTATTTATTTATAACACAAACCACTTAAATTTTACAAATTATAATTCAACGGAATATTGGCCTATATATCACACATACTAGAATAGTCCGTATTTCTTGTACAAGATCAACATGATATAGGTAGCACATAGAAAATGAGGAAAATGCATCACTATCATTCCGAAATAAACCGTTCATCCGGACTTTTGGTCCGATTTTAACAGGGTCAGTAATTGGGGTGTATTTATATTTTGTTAATTGTCAGAGTTGTTTCCCTTGGACCTTAATTAAATAGTTGTTTCCCGTAAAATCAATTTGTTATTTATTTGTTTTATTTTATTTTATTTTTTATTCATTTATTTTTTATTTATTTATATTTATGTCCCCGAAGGGAGGCATATTAAAATCGAACCGTCCGTCTGTCTGTCCGTCCGTCTCGCTTTATACATATAGACAGTGGCGGTCGTGTCCGCTCTGAAACTTCAGTATGCATGAAAGGATTTTAATTTTTCTTTCATATATGAAATAACCATAGATGAATGGTGTGTCCTGAATAAGACTCGGGTTCCTACGACTAAGGTCAAGGTCACTGTGGGGGTTCAAACTTTGTCATTTTTTATGTTATATAAATGTAGAAGGTGGTCGTCGTGTCCGCTCTTAAACTTCAGTATGCATGGAAGGATTGAAATTTTTCTTTCACATATGAAATAACCATAGGTGTATGGTGTGTCGTGAACAAGACCTGGGTTTCTACCACTAAGGTCAAGATCACTGTGGAGGTTCCTAATTTTTGACATGGCTTATTTCCAACATCTGTGACCATCCACAACATTTTTAATGTTTTTTTTTTATTAATTTGGACATTTTCTTGCCTATTTTCAAACTAAATTTGTACACACATTGTTAGATTTTTTTTTAATTCAACTTGTCAAAAAATATCATTTTTCACTAAGTTGAAATAATTCACGAAGATGCTTTATGAATTCGGCCTCAGGTTCTTGTTCACAGTGTCAGCTTAAAACTGAATTGAAGGAACAGCTACCAAAATCAGCTGATTCTGAGGAAAAAAATGTCAAAAATGTCAATCTGTGAGAGTGCAGCTTTCAGACGAATTATTTCATAATATTAATTGATGAGTACATGAAAACAAAATGTACAAAAATGGTCCCAAGAAATGGTTATAAAATGAATATTGCATGTTGGGCTGAAGATTACGGTGGCACAAAGGTGATATGTGTGTTTTTATTTATCTCGTGGCCACGAGATACTATGTCGTGGCCAGGAGTTACTAAGTCGTGGCCACGAGATACTATGTCGTGGTCACGAGGTACTAAGTCCTGGCCACGAGATAGCTTAGTCGTTGCCACGAGTTACTATGTCGTGGCCAAGAGGTAATAAGTCGTGGCAACGAGAAGGTGATATGTGTGTTTTTATTTATCTCGTGCGCACGAGATACTATGTCGTGGCCACGAGTTACTAAGTCTTGGCCACGAGATAGCTTAATCGTGGCCACGAGATACTATGTCGTGGCCAGAAGTTACTAAGTCGTGGCCACGAGATACTATGTCGTGGTCACGAGGTACTAAGTCCTGGCCACGAGATAGCTTAGTCGTTGCCACGAGTTACTATGTCGTGGCCAAGAGGTAATAAGTCGTGGCAACGAGATACTATGTCGTGGCCACGAGGTAATAAGTCGTGGCCACGAGATAGCTAAGTCGAGGTCACGAGTTACGAAATCATGGACACGAGTTACAAATCGCGGCCACGTGTTACTAAGTCGTGGCCACGAGATAGCTAAGTCTCGACCACGAGATACTATGTTGTGGCAACGAGTTACTAAGTCGTGGCCACGAGATAGCTAAGTCGTGGCCACGAGATACTATGTCGTGGCCACATGATAAATAATCAATCAGATTACACCATTTATATGATTTTCCCTAATTAACTAGACATGTGCTATAGTACAAGGATGCCCCTACTTCACCAGCCTCCAAAAGTGCCATTTGTACAACTTATTGACTGGTCAATAATTTTACAATTAGCGTCACGTTGACCCTGATTTTTGACCCAATGACCTCGAAATTATTGGTTGTCATCTACTGATCTTTCTGGGTTATATAAACCATGGCTAATCCCTACTAAATTATTCATCAGACGAGGATTTTACCTTATAGGCTATCTTATGTCCATGCACAATGTCCCTTCCAAATAAAATAAACCAGGACTTATTACTTCTCATGTTATCGTATAAACAAGGTTAACAGGTAGTGGTTCGTACAAACTGATCAATTTGATCACAAACTTGTCCCAACAAAGAGCTATAGTCAAAACTAATGCCTGATGGGCCTTGGAAGGTGGCTTTCTAATATGATCCTAAAGACAAGTTCAAACTGAATATCTTCAGTATTTTCAAAGATTAATGTTGCATGTAAAAGTAAGTTGTTAAGTTAAAAAAATCATAATATACACATCGTACAATCAAACGGGCAGACAGCAGTGCCAACGTCGACAGCTGTACTAGTATATACATGTCGGCATCACGAAAAACAATTGACGGACGGTAAGTATTCATCTATTTCTAGCATATCCGTTAATCACTGTTATGGATTCATAGTCAACATCAATAGAAGCATGCTAACATATTTTTGACCCTATTCAAACTTTATTTCACTTGAATTTTGTCTGAAAATAACCATACTATCCGATGAGTTGTGGCATTTTTATTTTAAGTCACAAAAACTTATATTTTCTCATGATAATAAATCCTTTTATCATACGATTCGTAAACTTCAACATTTCGTCATTAAATATTCCAAACCATGCCTTCAAAAACGCGTTTCTGTTAAAGTTATAGGGTATTTAAGTTTGAGTGTCATCAAAATTTTAGTAACGTCATCAGCCGTTCACCTCTTTTTAATGATCACATCGACAGCCATTCATCAGCAAGAATGAATAACGCTGAAAGCCGTTTAAGGAAACAATTTCCAGCGCCTTTGTGCTACAGTAACTTGGATAGAGTTAAACTTTTTTTGTTCATTTAAAATATTACTTTATGCATGATACTTTCTAATAGACGTCATGCTTACGAAACATTTTAACACAAACCACTTAAATTTTGCAAATTATAATTCAACGGAATATTGGCCTATGTATCCTACACATACTAAACTAGTTCGTATTTCTTACAAGATCAAAATAATAGAGGTAGCACATTGAAAATGAGCAAAGTGCATCACTATCATTCCGAAATAAACCGTTCATCCGGACTTTTGGTCCGATTGTAACAGAGCCAGTAATTGGGGTGTATTTATATTTTGTTAATTGTCAGAGTTGTTTCCCCTGGACCTTAAATGGTTGTTTCCCGTAAAATCAATTTGTTATATTTTATTTTATTTATTTTTTTATTTTATTTTTATTTATTTTTTTTTGGGGGGGGGGGGTTAGAGTGTTCTTACACATACTTGCAAATCCTAAGTAAATACTACTTTAGAAAATGTTGAATCAAATCAAAATCTATAAATATAGTACATTATGTTATATTTGCTTTAAATTATAATCTGCCAGCAGACGACGCGTAAATGTTTGTTGAATGAGATGATTAATTCTTCATTGTGATAAAAGACATATTTTGTTATTGTGTTTGTTTGAACAGTATAAGGTTATTTATAGGTTAAAGTTTATTAGTACGTACTTACAAACATAAATTGGTCAGGCGCGGCATAGCCGCGCGACAACGATTATGTAAACATTCTGTAACTTTACTTTAATAAAAAATATTCTCATTTGTCCTTGTATAGTTTCAGTGTTATTACCTACCGGCTCCTTTGTTAAAAGCGGTCTAGTAAATCACTTACCGACGCGGTTTAACAGGACTGTCTGCAAATAGATACCGACCGGTTATTGGTTCTATTGTTCTCTATACAATAGAAAATATGTGAAGTCGAGAAACTCGTGCATTACAGTACACAATATTCAACCGTAAAATAACGCTGAATTGTGACCACTTTGAATAGGAAAAAGGATCGATATATATTTTAAAGATTAATCGAAATAAATTAGCGCATACGGCTGTAAGTACCCTCTTAACTTATATTCAGATTATTTGTGAGAAAAACGAACTGGCTACTGTTTCTGGCGTTGAAGTTTTGTGTTTTCGCTGATATTAATGAGTATAACAACGCACATTAAGCCTTTCTTTAAAAGTTGCTTTTCGGTATACCTAACACATTTGCCGAACTATATAGCTTCATGAAGATTCTAGTTTTCGGTATTTATTTCCACAACTATGTCTGAATTTGCACAATCCTGCATTATTTTAACAATTCTGCATTATAAGATAAATACGACGATTATATTATTGGTGCATATCGAATCAAAGTCACCTTCTGCATCTTTCTTTCCCAAAATATTACTTTCAGTGAGAGTATAGTTCATCTTAAGTATAAGAATGTTTTTTCTCATTTATTCCCAGTTATTTTTACATTACAATTTGGTTTTTGTATACCAGTACAAAGTACGGAAACGTATAGCGACCATCCCTATATGATATATATCAAATGACTTTTTTTACAGTTTTATAGTATGTTTGTTATAGGCAAATATGATTTGAGGAAAGAATTACATATTTAAAAAGATGTAAGTGTTTTATTTTTTCATTTTGTCAAAAAGTTAAAAGTAGTTTGTAAAAATTTGTTAGGTATATAATATGTATTAAATAAATTGTTAACTAACATATAGGGGTGGTCGCTATACGTTTCCGTAACCAAGAATACGACTTGCGCTTCCATTCTAGACCGCGTGCTTACATGCGGTCTTATAACAGATAATGCTAATTAAGAATGCACGGAAAAAAATTCTTCCAAACATGCATGGATGAAATACTAAGAACATTTAAAATCAGCCATCATAAAAAACAACAACAACAAAACCCAACTTACATAACGGTGTAACTACATGTATTACTAATATTTATTCATAGAACCGTTTTTTTTTATTTTCCCTTTGAACAATCGTAATATTTTAATTATATAAGAAATAGCCTGATCATCTATTTACCATGAAATTTATTAATATATAAAGATAAAGTGTTCCGTTTTTGTTTTTTATGATTAGAAAACATTTTTATCTTCCTCAGTATTTGTTTATATTATTAATATGTTATGTATTCATATATCAAAATAATGATCTTACCTTTCCCTACTCGCGACAAGTTCTGTTTTCATTTTCTGTGACTCAACTCAACAAGTACATTACCTAATGAAACCCCACGAAAATCACGAGAATATTCAAATAACACCTGATTTGTGAGCG